GGTGAGCTCGTCCGGGTGGAATGGATCCGATCCCCCTCTATGGTGGTGGCTACGTTCTATTTATAGCGGCCTTGGTCCTCTTCCAAAATGTTTAGGCAGGAAGGGATCCCACAACGGCCAAGTTTGAAGGGGAACAACTAGTACAAGCTATCCTGACAAAAGTAGTCTTCGTCTGCCAAAGGCTCTGGTGGTGATGCTGCTGCGGGCTCTGCGATGACCTCCGTCCTGCTGTCCTGCTGGTCTTGGTCTTGTTGCACCGATATGGAAACCTTTGTCTGATGCCTCGGGACCCGCGCCTGCACTTGCCTCCTTAGCACCAAAGAGGAAACCTGTACACTGCGCCCCCTGGCGCCCACCTGGCCTTGGTCGTCATGGCTCACGTCACGCGAACCTCGCAAGGTGCCCCTTTGGATAGATATCTCCGCTTCTCGGGAGCTTGCCTAGTGAGGCTGCCCCCAGGGGGTCTTGGTGTTGTCCGCCTTGCGAGGCTTGGACCCTCGCGAGGGTCTTGTGTTACTGCTGCTGCAGCTGGGCCGTACCAGGCCGCTGACGAAGCCACGTCCGCGAGTCGCAGGCAGGCAAGTCTGGGCACCCCCGGTCCCAGAACGCTGACAGCTACCAAATATTAGTCAATGTGTTTCCAAAGCCGACTGATTTTCTTCTCACGTCCTTCCTATAACCCCCACCCACCGAATTGATATCACCTGCCCGAACCCACCCGTCCCTCGTCCCCATCGCAGCTACTGTCGATCCAGCTACATCCACGAGCTCGACAGTCACCTCGTCGCTCAGATCTTCATCATAACCAACCATCCCAACAGTGGTCGTGAGATTCACTGCATCAGTATGTTGTCCCATCCGTTGGTTGCGGCTGGCCTTATCCATGATGCGCATCAGCAAGCTCTCGACTCCCTCGACATCCCTGGCATCTCCACTAGGTTTGGGCCACCGTAGCGGAGCGTTGCCTCAGTTGAGGAACAAAGACAGCATGCGAGGAACATTGCATGATTCGCCCGCTTCCCTCACATGCATCATGCAATCACTAGACCTAGACCTAGGTATCTAGTCCTCTAATTTTGATTCATATGTTCATATCATGATTCTATCTCACATGTAATTGGCCACTGAATTTCTATTAATTTGGTAGGCACATAACAATAATATTCATCAAAATATTGGCAGTAATATTAGCTTCCATTACAATATCAATTTCCATGCTTCCATCCAAGACTAGTTCGCTCATGAAGTACCATGTTCATGCTTCTTTGTTATGCATCACCTAAATTGAAATATAGATGCTTCTAAATTCTATACAATTTGCTTCTATAGGTAATAAAAAATTGATAAATTTTAATTCTGGCGGCACAAAACATCCATCCCCTGTTGGCCATAATACTAGTTTCCTTCAATTTTCATCGTTCTATGAATCCAATTGAGCTCCTGTATATATATAGCTCATGTTCTGTGTCATGTGTCCTACTGTCATATTACAAATGGAGCTTCCAACATCACACTTTATGTGTCGGTATGGTTCCTGATCCAAGCTTTCTTTTTTTGAGCCGAAACCGTATAATAATCGTTCTATGATATTTTCATTATCAATAAATTATGTACAAACAGTTAAAAAAACTAATGTAGCCCAATGCCGGCTCTAGGAAACATAATAGCAATTAAATTACAAGTTCCGTTCTACCATGCTTCAATCTGCTGTGCCTTTGCTTGCTTCGCTCGAAGTTTGGTAATCTGAAGACCTTCTTTCAAGTAGTGTTTCCAGGAGTTTAGATGTAGAACTGCCATTCCAAAGATTTTGTCATTTCTGACCATCCAAGACTCCAACATCCCATGATAATAATCTCCATTGCATTGGTTTTTGGAAGCATATTTATTGTGAGGTGAATCTCATCATATACAGAAATGCCCCTCTGTTTAGTTGGAAGGATGTTATACCAACAGTTAAAAGAAAAAGGGCAGTTCCAGAAAAGATGGGTCAATGTTTCTTCTGTGGCCTCTGCACATAATGCACAATTATAGTCTTCTAAATACATGCTTCTGCATTGTAATAAGTTCCTTGTGCTCACTCTATCATGCAGTAGAAGCCAGAAAATGTGTCTGAGTCTGCAGGTAGCACTACATAGGAGTTTGAAGCTTCCTTGATTTCTGCTACATATTTCTTGTTTTATTTTTGTTTCTCCTAGTTGTAACCATCAAACAGTTTATTCTCCCACATAGTACTACAATTCAATTTGTTGTAGGTGTTGTGTTATGTACAGATGGAGTGCCAATTATTTGCCATGCTTCCTAGGAGCTTCATATATACATATGCTTCTACCTATTACATTCTAGTTTGCGATGCATATATATATGCAACTGTGTAATTAGCATTTTCATTCAGAGATTCACTTGAGTGCATGAAAAGATCACTACTTAGCATTCATGCTACGTAGGTGTTTGTCGCCGTCTAACGGTGTCCCTCAATGGGCGCCACATCAGCTTGACAGGTGAGCCCTACGTGCCTGTGTTTCTGTTTTCATGAGCAAATCAAACAATGAGTGCTCCATGTTAGTTGTAAGGCAAAAAGTTAGTGGTTCTTTGTGCCTCTAGCTTAAATGTGGTATTAAGTTGTTTTCCTAGCCCCGAATATGATGGTCTTTTTCCAAAAAAAAGGTGATGTTTTTGCTAAATATCTCTAAACGAGGAGAAGAAGGGAGGAGATGCCCTCGTGTGTCCGGGCCTGCGCGCCCTTGCGACGGTGTGGCGTAGCCACGAGACACAGTGACACCATTGATTTCCCTCTCGGCACGCCGCTGTACCATGACCCCCATGCATATGCATGATCATTCCCTTCATTGATTCCGTTCGTTGCGTAATCCAAACATATTCCCCCGTCTTTGTCACGCAACTATGCGCGCACGACATTGCTAGATCATGCCCCTTGCCGTTTAATACGGGACCATGCATTGCATTGCATGTACAGGCAACGCCAACTCACCCAGAGCCCGATAGTGAACTCGCCCATCAACCATGGATGGGCCGCCGGCCGACGTACACGGATGCGTCGCATTTCGTTTCAGAGTGGAACCCGGATCTTTTTGTGTCGTCCTCACTCGTTGGTGTTGCCCAGCTAAGCAGCTAAGCGCCTCCTAGCTGGGTAATAAAGGCCACATGGGGGGAGGCCGACCCGGGCGGGGCGGCGCCGATGCTGCTGCGGCGTTGGGACCTGGGAGTGGCGCCGTCCTGGCCTATCCGGCTGTCCTGTGGACGCTCCGTCACACAGAACACGGCGGATCAGGCTGCGGCGCGGAACAGAGCGCCAGAGCGGTGGCAGCCGCGCGCGCACGCGAGCCAGGTCTACTCCCCGTCCCCGCGTGCCGTGCGTCCAGTCCCGTCGCAAGACTATCAATGGCAGTACTGTGGCTCATCTCATCACTCCTACAGCGGTGGTTGATGTTGCAGAGCTAGCACGTACGTAAAGTTCCCTTTCTGCTCTTTTTCAGAGTACGTCAAAAGACGTATAATCTTTATCTTTACCTACTACTAGGAAAGATGCCCGTGCATTGCAACGGGAGAAAAATAATAGCCCCTTGTCTAATAAGCAAGGCTCAAGAACCACGACAGGTCTACATCCACTATTTCAACAGGGCGTCCCACCCGCG